TTCCCGTGACCTCGAGGAGGGGGAATCGGAGATGCACGCTCCTGACCCCGCCGCCACCCTAGGGGCCCGCGCCCGCGGCAGGGATGCCCGGGACCGGAGACGCGGCATGGAGGGCAAACACGGGCTCCCCAGAGAGGATGGGAGGTGATGGAAGGAAGCAGGCAGGAGCTGTGTGGAAGAGGGCAGGAGCCCCTGCACCGGAGGGGCGGGCGAGGATTATTGAAGGGACTTCCTTGCTCTGGCAGGCCAGGGTGGGGCGAATGATAGAAATTCTCCCCTCTCCTCCTGCCCCTCCCTGCCCCTCCGTGTCCTAGGAGACCGCGCTGGCGGGCCACTCCTCCCACCCACCCGACTGGTCCCTCCGGTCTGCGCTCCGGGGGAGTGGAGCGAAGGGGTGGGGAAGTGCACTTGGCCGGGGGGAGGGTGGAGCTGCCATCTGCGCAGACACCCAGCCCCTTGACCGCGCTGCCCGGGCCATGGATGTGACTCTGAAACCCCCTTGTTTCCCCAGGTCGTCCGGGGGCCCGCCATGCTGGTGACGGCCTACCTTGTCTTTGTGGTCCTCCTGACCTCCTGCCTGGGGTTGGAGCTGTCAAGATGCCGGGCTAAGCCCCCGGGAAGGGCCTGCAGCAACCCCTCCTTCGTGCGGTTCCAATTGGACTTTTATCAGGTCTACTTCCTGGCCCTGGCCGCCGACTGGCTGCAGGCCCCCTACCTCTATAAACTCTATCAGCATTACCACTTCCTGGAGGGTCAGATTGCCATCCTCTATGTCTGTGGCCTCGCCTCCACGGTCCTCTTTGGACTGGTGGCCTCCTCCCTGGTGGATTGGCTGGGTCGGAAGAAGTCTTGTGTCCTCTTCTCCCTCACTTACTCCCTGTGCTGCCTAACCAAACTCTCTCGGGACTACTTTGTGTTGCTGGTAGGCCGGGCCCTTGGTGGGCTGTCCACCGCCCTGCTCTTCTCTGCCTTCGAGGCCTGGTACATCCATGAGCACTTGGAGCGGCATGACTTCCCTGCCGAGTGGATCCCAGCCACCTTTGCCCGTGCTGCCTTCTGGAACCATGTGCTGGCTGTAGTGGCAGGTGTGGCCGCTGAGGCTGTGGCCTGCTGGATGGGACTAGGGCCTGTCGCGCCCTTTGTGGCTGCCATCCCTCTCTTGGCTCTGGCGGGGGCCTTGGCCCTTCGCAACTGGGGAGAGAACTATGATCGGCAGCGTGCCTTCTCGAGGACCTGTGCTGGGGGCCTGCGCTGCCTCCTGTCGGACCGCCGTGTGCTGCTGCTAGGTACCATACAAGCCCTGTTTGAGAGTGTCATCTTCATCTTTGTCTTCCTCTGGACACCTGTGCTGGACCCACATGGGGCCCCACTGGGCATCATCTTCTCCAGCTTCATGGCAGCCAGCCTGCTCGGCTCTTCCTTGTATCGCATCGCTACCTCGAAGAGGTACCACCTTCAGCCTATGCATCTGCTCTCCCTTGCTGTCCTCATCGTTGTCTTCTCCCTCTTCATGCTGACTTTCTCCACCAGTCCAGGCCAGGAGAGTCCCGTGGAGTCCTTCATAGCCTTCCTACTTATCGAATTGGCCTGTGGCCTATACTTTCCCAGCATGAGCTTCCTGCGGAGGAAGGTGATCCCTGAGACAGAGCAAGCTGGTGTACTCAACTGGTTCCGGGTGCCCCTGCACTTGCTGGCCTGCCTGGGGCTCCTAGTCCTTCATGATAGTGATCGCAAAACAGGCACTCGGAACATGTTCAGCATCTGCTCTGCTGTCATGGTGATGGCTCTGCTGGCAGTGGTGGGGCTCTTCACCGTGGTAAGGCATGATGCTGAATTGCGGGTGTCCTCGCCCAATGGGGAGCCCTATGCCCCTGAGCTCTAACTCTGTTTCAAGACGGGGCTGGGACAGACTCTTGAGTTCCACCTCTCCAGGGTTGTACAGATCTCTTGTTGACTGACTTTGGGACTATCTGGCCCCTCAGCCTGTCCTTGGGGACCCTCCTGCCAGTGCTTTGGGTTGGGGAGTACATGGGGGTGATATCCTGGAAAGAAGATGCCAAAAGTTGCCTCTGTGTTACTCCCTTTCCCTTTTCAATTTAAAAATAAACACTTTTCACTGATCATTGATTTGATTTACTCATCCTGACCTGAACCCACCTTAGTAGTTTCTGGTGGGGAGAAGATAGAGGTGGAATTATCAGCAGAATGTTTGTATTTGTAGCCTAAGACTGTATCCAGCTTAAACTGAGTTTTGGAATTTTCTGTAAGCAGAAATGGGTGGGAAATGCCTGAGGCTACTAGGTCCTCCATATCTTTTTAAAAAATATATTTTTATTGATTTCAGAAAGGAAGGGAGAAGAAGAGAGAGAGAGAAACATCAATGATGAGAGAGAATCATTGATTGGCTGCCTCCTGCACACCCCCAACTGGGGGGTCAAGCCCGCAACCCAGTCATGTGCCCTTGACCGGAGTCGAACCTGGGACCCTTTAGTCTGCAGGCCAACGCTCTATCCGCTGAGCCAAACCAGGTAGGGCGGTCCTCCATATCTTGTTACCCTGGGGACAGGCATCCTCTCCAGTTGCCAAGCAAAACCCTTGCTCCACAGCCAGGGTGAGACAATCTCTGGAGCATGTGGGGTGGATGCCCAAGCCACTGAGCAAAGATTCCAGGGGCTTGGGCTGCTTCTATATCCACCCCTTGGGGCAAATTCAGGGCCTTCCTACAGGAAGAAGCTTGCAGCTCCCCACATGCATGCTACCTGTCTTCTGCCTCTGAGGGCTGTGAAGGTGCTATTTGTCCAGCATCACTGGGCCCACTAGGTCCTGTATCTTTGCATGAAATCTAAGTGAAGGGCCGCCAAGGGGAGAGAGCAGTGAATGGCTGAGGGACTGGGACATCTTGTCAGTACCTGACTCTTCCCCACCCAGACTGAGTGAGGGTGAGGGAGCCATCAGGGCAGGAAACAGTACCAGTGGGAACACCAGTTTTGTGGGCCCCTCCCTGCCTCACCTCAGATGGTATCTGCCTTTACTCCTCCCACCAACACCTGGGCTTCTCAGGGGAAGCAGAGCCAACTTTAAGAAGGGTGGGGATGGAGGAAGGGCAGGCTCAAGGGTGTGTCCTGGAATGTGCTTGAGTTGGGCATGGGGGCCCACCTGTTCTGGAAAGGAATTGACAACCTTTCCCTGGGTCCCAGACTAATTCCCAGACAGGAAGATGCAAGATGCTCCAAGACCTGCAAGTAATAACCTGTGTGGAGAGATAACATCAACTGGTGCTAGAAGAATGCAGCATGGATGGTCTTCTGCAGGGTAACGCTGAGGGGGAGGAATGGGTGGTGGTCTAGGTCCCTACTTGGAGCAGAAAACAACAACACGTGTTCCCCCACCCAGACTGCAGGGAATACAAGTTGAGGTTAAGTACAGAAAAACATACCTTTGCCTTCCCCCACCTTGAAGCTAAGACGGAATCTGTTGCAATAACTCCACATCCTCTTTCTAGCCCTGAGCTGGACCTAGATATATTTTATTATTATTTGTAGACTTTCTGTTTCTCTTTACCATACTATGATCTCCTCAAGGATAAGAGGAAATGGTATGTTATTTGCCTTTGTCTGCCTGTATATGCACACAAGTGTGTGCTTTGCCCATAGCTGTGCTCAGTAAATGTCTGGAAAGGAGATGGGCTAGCTCACACCTGGCTTTTCAAGAGCTGCCCTTTTGGCAGCTATTAGACTAGAATTTAGAGCCTAGTTAATGATTAGTTGTTTTGGATAACAGTAGTTATTTACTGATGTAGGTATGAGGGGGCCCAACATTGCTAAGTGGTAAGGAAATTGGAGGGTAGACAGACCAATGTTCCTTTAACTTTGTCTCTGCTGAGTTTTCTTCAAAGGGGCTGGTGACATGGAGTTGGGAGGTTTTCTGTCAGATTCAACAGGGTATTAAAAACTCAAAGGCGCCCTGACCGGTTTGGCTCAGTGGATAGAGTGTCGGCCTGCGAACTGAGGGGTCCCAGGTTCGATTCCAGCCAAGGGCATGTACCTTGGTTGCAGGTACATCCCCAGTAGGGGGTGTGCAGGAGGCAGCTGATCGATGTTTCTCTCTCATCTATGTTTCTAACTCTCTATCCTTCTCCCTCCTCTCTGTGAAAAATCAATAAAATATATTAAAAAAAAAACTTAAAGGCATCTTTTAAAATATATATATATATATATGTATATATATATATGTTTTTATTGTTTTTAGAGAGAGAGGAAGGGAGAAGGACAGAGAGATAGGAACATCCATGAGAGAGAAACATCATTCATCGGCTGCCTCCTGCACGCCCCCCACTGGGGATCAGAGCCTGCAACCTGGACATGTGCCCTGACAGGGAATCGAACCTCGAACCATGACCTCCTGGTTCATAGGTCAATGCTCAACCACTCAGTCATGCCGGCTGGGCCACAAATATATTTTTTATTGAGTAGCTACTATATGCCATCCATGGTATTACTAGGGGGTAGTGACTTTTTTTTTTTTTTCACCCAAGAGGAAAATCCCCCTAAAGAAAGGATATGGCCTTCCTTGGCTGATGTGGCTCAATTGGTTGAGCACTGTCCTATCCACCGAAGAGTCATTGGGTCAATTCCTGGTCAGGACACATGCCGGAGTTGTAGGTTTGGTCCATGGTCGGGGCACATGCTGGAGGCAACAGATCAATGTTTCTCATATCTCTCTTTCCTCTCTAAAATCAATAACTTTTTATTTTAAAAAAGAAAGGATATAGCCCTAACTGGTTTGGCTCAGTGGATAGAGCGTCGGCCTGCAGACTGAAGGGTCCCAGGTTCGATTCCAGTCAAGGGCATGTACCTTGGTTGTGGGCACATCCCCAGTAGGAGGTGTGCAGGAGGCAGCTGATCAATGTTTCTAACTCTCTATCCCTCTCCCTTCCTCTCTGCAAAAAAATCAATAAAATATATATATTTTTAAAAAGGATATAGCAGGGGGGATAAATGGTAATGGGAAAAAATAAAAAACGAAAGGATCTGTAGCAAGTGAATTACAAAGCTAAAGCTAAACCTTGCCCTTTTTTAAAATATATTTTTATTGATTTCAGAGAGGGAGAGGGAGAGATAGAACCATTAATGATGAGAGAGAATCATTGATTGGCTGTCTCTTGCACGCCCCCTACTGGGGATCGAGCCCACAACCTGGACATGTGCCCTTGACCGGAATCGAACCCAGGACCTTTCAGTCCCCAGGCTGATGCTCTATCCACTGAGCCAAACCAGCTAGGGCTAAACCTTGCCTTTTGCTGCCCCCCAGTCCACCTTCTGTGACATGTACTGCCTGTGTCCCCTGGGCCTTTACCTACCTGACTTTCGCCCTCTAGTCTTGCTCCCTCATCCCAAACCCTGTCTCTGGAGAAGGCAAGAGAATGGGAGCATTTAGCCTTGGCTATCTGGTCCACTTTTGGGTGTATGCCCATATGTGTCAAATGAAGGATTGGTTTAGTAGCAGATGCACACTGCCTGAAAACTGCTGCTCATAACACTGCTAAGAGGCAGCATAGGGAACTAGTTAATAGCATGGAGACAGAGCTCAACTACCTGGGTTCAAATTTGAGCCTGTTTCCTCATCTGTAAGATGGGGATGATAGTATCATTTCTACCCTATAACGAATGCTCTTATAATATTAAATGCATTACTGTATTTAAGTGCTTAGAATAGTACTTAGTCCACAATGTAAGCACTACATAAGTGTTTGTTTTTATGTTTTTCAACTTTTTCAGCCCAGCTAAGCCCATCCGGATTTGGGTGTGAGAATGAGTGGATGGGGCTATAAAACTGGGTGTAGAACTTTCCAACACATCCCAGTGGTTGGGTGATTCCTAGCAGTGTTTACCCTTGATCCTGGCCCAGACAGAAGTATCCAGCTATCTGAAAGGCCTTCTACTTTGGGGCACATGAGCAGCTGAGTAGAATGTTAGTATGTTCCACTTGAACTCATTTCCTCTTCAAGTGGGAAGGTCATTTTGGTGTCAGATTTGATACACACCACCATCTTTTACTAAGAGGCTCCTGATTTTCTGATTTTCCATTCAGCTGGACACATGATTATTTGATTTGGAGCTTTTAAGCGATCCTGAGGAGAGCAGAAACATCACAAGGAACCAGGAGCCAATGGATGAGAGACAGGAGGATTGGGGCTTGAGAACCAACTGTACTGGGTTCTGAAGCTTGGAGGATGACCTCTTCCTGGAAATTCAGTCCTTGCTCAGGGATGGGAGGGGGTTTCCCAGCTAATGGCCATGGCCCTGAGGCTAGGTCCAGGTTTCATTCCCCATCTTATTTGCCTTTGTCTGCCTGTATATGCACACAAGTGGAAGTACATGGGGGTGATATCCTGGAATGTTTGACCCCCAATCCTGTGGTTCTCCCTGTCCCTTTTATTATTTTTTGCTACTACTTCCTTGACCCCCAATCCTGTGGTTCTCCCTGTCCCTTTTATTATTTTTTGCTACTACTTCCCCATAGAACTACAGAACAGAATTATAAAACAAGTTTGTTATGCTTGGGATCAGATCTAATGTTATAAAAATTATTTCACATTTGCTTTAAGGTGTTTATTTTTTGCAATACATTTATATGGGCTCATTGTAAAATAATCTAATGCAAATACAGAAAAAACACAATATGAATATGTGAATGTAAATCTGTAAATATGAATATGTGAATGTAAATCTATATACCATATATATAATGGTATATTAAAATACATATATTGACATAAATATATTACAAATATATACAGAAATATAAAATATTAAAAATGACAGGCTCTGCTCCATTAATCCCTCTATTCATACCATTGTTAAATGTTCTGGTTTAATGTTAGAGATTTTTTTTAATAAAAATGGAATTATATCACTCATGCTATTCCATAACTTGTTTCTTTTTTGTTTGATTGTTCTTTTTACATAAAGTATATCTTATTTTTCTTTTTAAAACAAAGACTATAACAATCATTCATATATCTCTGGTATCTTTATATGTCAGTACATATAAGACGTTTTTTAACGGCTGCAAAACATTGTTAGGGCTTTTGAAAAGCATTTCAAGGCTATTCTACTTCAGA